AGGCCTAATTATCCTTTTGCATTGTGCATTAGCATTTTCAAAAGCCAGTTATTCAATTATTATTTGTCTAGCTTCTAAATTTGGTATTATTCTATTTACTGCTGAAGTCAATCTTTGTAAGAAATCAGTAAAGGTTTCTTTTGGGCCCTGTATAACTTTTATAAATGACTCAATTTTCTTTCCTACTTCTTCAATTCTTTCCCAAGCATTCAAGGCTGATACACAGCATAAAGCCAGGATGTGGTCATCATATACAGAATGCCTTTCTACATTAGCATAATCTCCCTCCCCAAGAAGTTGGTCTTGGGAGATCAATACCTCTATCCCTACTTCATTGTTCAGTGGTCTTAGCCTCATCCTTCCACATGTCCTCCATTTTCATTGGGGACCAGCCTCCAAGACTGCTCAACAAACCTCTCCAGTCTTGAGGGATAATTCTATTACAAGTTGACCACAAGTTTAACATCCACCTCACAAAAGGTAAGTGCATGCCATATGAGACTATCACTTCCTTGAATCTCATCAAATCTAACATTTGCACAGGAGTCCATTCAGCTCTTACACACTCTGGGGGATATGTATCATTTGGCAGTTCCTGTAAGGTTACTGGATATATTAAGGTTGGTTGTTTAAAAGCTTTAGGGTGTTTCTCTGTAACCTTATAATACAATGTTGAGATTGGAGAAAGCATCTAGCATCAATTACTGAAATGTGTAGATGCTGCCTATCCTGGGACATGGACACCTGCATTGCCAGACCTCACTCCTGGCACTGCCAAATCTTGATTCTCTACTTTCTGTGTATCTACAAGCTAGTGTGGATTTACTGCTGTGGATATAACAAAAAGTTCCAGCCTAATAAAGCAATCAGGACTCTGAACTACTCTAATTCATAACCTCTTCTCTGCCTCTCACTTGCAAAGTGTAGTAGGTTTGTAAGAAGAGTCAGACAACCTCTAAATTATTGAAATTTTGATTGTGTTATGGTAAAAGGAAAAAAATAGAGGAAAAATGAAACTGTACTTTCAGCCATCTTCCATGAAAATTTAAAAACTGGGAAACTAACTCTATCTTGAATTTAGTTGCTCATCACTTTAAGTTGAGGTTGAGGTTATAGTCAAAGGGTAAGTTTCAAGGCTGGAGGATGACTCAGTTGGTTATATTCCTGCTGTGCAAGCTTGAGGACCTGAGTTTAGATCCCTGGCACCTGTGTAAATAAGCCAGACACATAGCCCCATCTATAACTCAGTGCTAGAGCTCATTGGCTGGTCAGTCTAGCCAATTGGTGAGCTCAGCTTAAGTGAGATGTCTATCTCAAAAAACAAGGTACAGAGGCATCAAGGAAGACCCAGTGTTGACCTTTAGCCTCACAAACATGCACATGTGCACATACATACACACATGAACATGTACATATACCACACACATATACTTACAAACACACAGGCTTGTATCAAAGAACCATGAAGGCTATGTAGTCAGGTATGGATGCAAATTATATGTATGTTAATGTATATATGCCTATAGAATCATTGACAGAATTTAAAACAACAGAAATAAAAGTCAACAATATAGTACTTTGTAGAAAGTGCCTTTCATACAGTAAATATTTCATTCACCTGAAAAGTCCTGTGAGTTAGGATCTGCCTTAGTTAAGTTCCTGTTGCTGTGAAGAGACACCATGACCATGGCAACTTTTAGAAAGAAAAACATTTCATTAAAGTGGCAACTTATGGTTTCAGAGGTTAGTTCACCCTTGTGGGGAGTATGGCAGCTGGAAATATGGCAGTGTACAGGCAGACATGGTGCTAGAGAATTATACATCTTGATCCAAAGGCAACAGAAAGTGAACTGAGTGTCTCACTGAGAGAAGCTTGAGCAAATGAGACCTCAAAGCCTGCCCCCCCACTTCCTCTAACAAGGCCATATCTACTCCAACAAAGCCACACCTCCTAATAATACCACTCCTTTTGGGGGCCATTTCTTTCAAACAACCACAGGACCCATGATTGTCCTCATTTTATAAGTAAAGAAGGGAGCAGTAGAGATTTTGGCTCAAAGTCTAATTAACAAAAGACAGAGCCAGAATTTGAACCCAGTGATTGGACTGTAGAGTGCTGTGGAATGTTGTTCTGTATGCTGTGAATGTGTGTTGCTCTGACTGGTTGATAAATAAAATGCTGATTGGCCAGTAGCCAGGTGGGAAGTATAGGTGGGATAATCAGACAAGGAGAATTCTGGGAAGAGGAAGGCTGAGTCAGGAGTCACCAGCCAGACACAGAGGAAGCAAGATGACAAGGCAGAACTGAGAAAAATTAACAAGCCATGTGGCTAAACATAAATAAGAATTATGGGTTAATTTAAGTGTAAGAGCTAGTCAGTAATAAGTCTGACCTAATGGCTGAGCAGTTATAAATAATATTAAGCTTCTGAGTGATTATTTTATAAGTGGGCCACAGAACTGCAGGGGCCTGGTGGAACACTGGAATCTTCTAGCTACAGTAGAGGCCATGGTGGTAATCAGTCTGTTACACTGTCAATCACCAGATTAGATGTGTTCATTTTCTGAACTTGGAACATCTTTTATTACAGGCTATTTATAATAAATGTATGCTTACACTAAGAAATACAAATACATAAATAAAAACATAAACACCTGAAAGCATCTAATTCTGCTTTGGAAAACATTACCTTTTTATTGTGTATTACCTTGTACCTCAAATCCTTAATATAACTTTACAGATTCAGTCATTTTGCCTTTAATAACTAATTATGAAGTTGTAAAACCTCAAAAGTGTTCATCATCAGTCATAGATTTTAGCTACACCCTGGTGATATTTTAAAAGCATGCTGTATTTATGATTATATCTGGTGTTGGTACTCTACAGTTCTGTTCACTCACCAGGAGATCACCCAAGGAAACACATAATTTTCTTACTGTGCATAAATCTGGTGAGCACATGACAACTGTGCAGGTTTTAAGGCATCCTGGATTCAGCCCTCAACTCTTCTTTTTGTTGGTCTAATAGCCATGGCTATAACTTACCCATTAAAATCTCAGTTTCTTCCCTTCTGAGATGAGTGTGTAGCAGCAAAAGGGAAAATGTAATCAAATTTCCCCTTTCAGTTTCTGACTCAACATCAATGTCCCAAAAATGTTTGACTGGATGAACAAATGAATTATTAATGTGGTTTTATGAAAGTATGTTGGTCTGTAGGTACCTCTTTCTATCCCAGTGTTCATTGACATACTCTTTATTAGGTGGGGTCCTTATAGACCACTGTCTATGGAGTTCCTGGTATTCTCTGTTCCTACCACCTTAGTTCAGTATTGTATCTATAAGCACTGGTTTGTTAGTTGGAAACAGAATTAAAGAATGCCAGTGTTGAAGAGGTCAGTTGGGCAGCCCACCCCTTTCTCTGAAAGTGCATTATCATGGGCCAACACAGCAAGGCAGAAGAAGACACACATTCAGCATGAGCACCGCCTGGGGCTGAACCCTGGCTCTACTGCTTGAGAGTTGTTCAAGTTCTGAACATTCCGAAGCCTCGATTTCTTTATCTATAAAACCAGGACAGTAATAAAACAACCCCAGAGCTCGTATAAATTGAAGATGATTCATGCAAAATGCTGCCTTGATATCTAGGACATGTAAATAGTGAACAATCAATCCATAAACACTTCTTTTCATAGAGGAAGAAAGCCAAGGACAGACAAGATAATTGTACACGGTCATGGTGTCAGCTGATGGCGATGGCCAGTCTCTGACTTTGAGTCCCTAACCTTCAGCTCTCCTCTACTGAACAACAAGTGTTATTAGATTTCATATGCTCTAGGAATTTCTCTTTGCATGCTTTTTCCTGCCCCAAGACAGCTCTCTCCATGAATGCTGAAGGCAGTTAGACTGGGGAGGGCAAAATTAAAAACCAGACCAAGTCTTTCTTGCTCTGCTGTGACTTGATATTTAAATCTGTGAATACAAAGGTGATTGCTAAGGGGTTGACAGCAGGAAGAGAAGTGTGGAAGTGCACGGACACATATCCTCAAATGTGCCCTCATTAGGAAGTCAGCAAGATGATAGGGAGGTGGAAAGAAGACTGTTAGGGTACCAGTGAAACAGAAACACAGCAGGTGGGGGTTGTGGCAACCTGGAGCTGGGAACAAGGCTGCAGGGAGGGAGGAAATGGGCAGAGCAAAGGAAATGGAAGCATTGTTAAGCTTTATCCTTTAGTGAGTGACTGGGGTCCAACACAAAAGGAGGATTAGCCTTTGTGGGGAGCAAGGTGTGAAGAAAGAGTAGGAGGGTGGTGTGTGAGGAGTTCAGAGACTGGGCGCTGGGAGCCTGTGGGAAGGTGCTTCTGCTTGCTTGTTTTCTTCTTGACACAGGAAGCAAAATCATCAGCCAAGAGGATTGGTGGGCAAGGGTTTGATTAGATGAAGGAAACTACAAAGTGTGGACCAGGAACATGGCAAATGAATGCCCATTGGGCATTTTTAGAGTCTATTTAGTTTGGTAATCACACATCCTAAGTGAGACAGCATAGTTGGTGAATTTTCCCAGGCACAGATGCCAGCAGGAACTTAACTAGAGTCATAGCATCTTTGGAGGTTCCTTGTCTCATAATGTCATGTCAGGGCTCCTCCTTTTTAAAAAATATATATTTTTAACTTAATTTATTTATATACTGTGGTGATATTGTGTTCCCCAAAATATTGTGCACCCTAATAAACTTATCTGGGGTCAGAGAACAGAACAGCCACTAGATATAGAGGCCAAAAAATGGTGGCACACACGCCTTTAATCCTATCACTTGGGAGAAGTAATGGGAGTTTAAAGCCACACTAGAAACAGCCAGGCATAGTGACTCATGCCTTTAATCCCAGGAAGGTGAGGTAGCTGTGGCTTGTTCTGCTTCTCTGATCTTCCAGCATTCACCCCAATCCCTGGCTCCAGGTTTGTTTTTATTAATAAGAACTTTTAAGATTCGTGCTACAATATACTTTTTTCTTCTCTGTTTTTACCCTACAGGTCCATTGTGCATATATTATGGCTTCTGGTTTAATGTTTTTATGGCATTCCTGAGTGTACAAACAAGTGAGTTTCTGTCTCTTGGGCTCTTTTCCTTCTCTTTGTTTTGTCCAATTACAACATGTTATTTTTGTTTTATCTTATTATATTTTATTTTATTATTATCCCATAGAAATCTGTTTGTTTTTTAATGAGAGACAGAAAGAGGGTAAATCTGGATGGAGGGGAGGAGGGGACGAGCTAGGAGGAGTAGAGGGAAGGGAAATCATAATCAAGATATATTATGTGAGGAAAAAAAGAGACTATTTCAATGAAATAGGTGGGGTACTTATGGACCACTGTCTATGTAGTTCCTGGTTTTCTCTGTTCCTACCACCTTAGGAACATCATATTTGTATTACTGCAAACGTTTCATCAGCTGTGTTCCTCTGCCGTCAGTCTTCTGGGACCTCACATTTATGCTGAACAGTTGCAGAATCGGTGTCTCCAGCTCAACCTCTCAGCCACCACTGTGTTACCTTGTGTATTACTCTTGCCCGACCTTAGTTCATTCTCAACGCTGAAGCCAACCTAAGTTAGTCAGTCTCACTTTTCTGCCTTCCCATCTTACCTCAGAGTAAAAGTCAAAGCCCTTCTACTTGTTTCCACCACGATCTGCGGCATGCTAAATGCGTTATCCTCCGCTGCCTCTCTAACAATTGTAGAACTGTCCATACAGTCAATCCAGTGCCAATAAAGTTTCCTTGAATCAAAGGACAGAGTCAGCAATTGGCTGACGGGGATTAGCCATAAAGTTCTTGGAGGACTTAGGAGGGTGGCTAGAGAGGACAGGAAGAGAGGAGAGAGGAGTTCTGGGGAATTTCTGGTGGTTTGGGGAAAATGTAGAGAGAGGATCAGCCAATCACTCTGCTTTCCTTGGATTTTTCAGGTCATTATCTCAATTTCTGATTCTCCAGATTTTATTATACTGGAACAAATCAGGTAACTGTTGCATCTGACAGCCGCATCTGGCGCCTGACAGGTGGCACTATTAAACCATGCCGAGGTGGTAAGCCCATCACGCCACCTCCACTGCTGCCGCAGCGGCCAGCGCTCTCTCCCTTCCCACAGGCCCTCCACACCTGTTTTTCTGTTTATCCCTTCAATTTTTCAACAGCAGCCTTCTGCTGCTGCCCGCCTCTGGACCCAATATGCCTCTGGGGTTAGTCACCCCACCACCAGCCAGTGCCCTCACTTCCTGCCATGTGGGCCTTCCTCCCCAGAATGCCAACAACCAGTTTGAAACCATCTTGTGGCTCAGGCTCTTACTGACGCTGCCACTGCTACAAGCTGCCAAGGGCCCGGGTGTGCCCAGTCTTGCAGTGGTAGCCAGTGGAGTAACGCCCAGTCAGCCACCCCTGCCAATGATGGTAGATAGGCATTGCTATCCCACGCTGCATCTCAGCCACATGAATTTCTCCTACTGGTTTCCTTATGTTAGCTCTTCAGACAGCCCATGGCACGTGAGCAGCCATGTTGATCTCCAGCCCAAGTGTGCAATTCGCACAGCTCAAGGCACCCCTCTACATACTCTACATGCAAGCAGCAGCAAGTGCCCACAGCCTGGCCCGTGCAGCACAGAAGCAACCCGCTGAAACAACACCTGCAACCTTGCTAATCTGGGTGCCTGGGCACTCCACTGCTACCCACCATAGTGCCACCAGTACTGTTGGCTACCCTCCTCCCCCTCCCCTGATCCCTGCACATTTTGACCTACGCTGTCAGCATCATCAGATATAGTAAGACACTTGGGTATTTTTAAACAGGGCATTAGCATATTAAAAGGTGTGTGGGGGGGAGTATTTCCCACGTTAAGAATTGGGAATATCACAATTCAGGGAGTTAGGACCCTGTTTACTGCTACTATGGATGGCTTGCAAATGGAAAAAAATAAATGATGGCATAAACAACTTAGCTGGGATTGACATAATGTCGATCATAATTATTATCAGTTTGGTAATTCATATTTTATCCTTAAAAAGTGGTTTCTTAACTGTGACAAATATGATATTTTGACTGATAAGATACAAGCTTTAGAAAGATTTACTATTAACAAGACACAAGCCTTAGAAAAACTTACTATTGATAAGATACAAACTTTAGAAAGACTTAGTACTGGTAGGGTACAAACCTTAGAGAAAATCTACTAATGAAAATTAAAAAAAAAATCTGACTGATAAGATACAAGCCTTAGAAGAACTTACTATTGATAAGATTCAAACTCTAGGAAGACTTTCTACTGATGAGATACAAGGCTTAGAAAGACCTACCAAAGAAGATAAGAAAAGTACTCAGACACAGAGGAATTTAGAACAGAACCTTCCACACCATTGCAGTATGAAGCTAAAGAGGACTGGCTTAAGGTTGCCAAACTTAATTTATACAGTTACCATACAGGAATGACCACAAGATTATAGGCACCCCCAAGGCTATGCAGAAATTAACTGGGATCCTGAATGTTAGATTTGAAGAAATTTAAGGAAGCAGTTATTTTATATGGTATGTATTCACACTTTGTGAAACAGATATTAAATTCATGGGCAATTCAGGATTATTCTTCAAGACCCTAAAATAAAGAATGCTGCTCAGAGAAATTGTAAAAGGTATTATCAAGAATGGTCACAGACTGTTCAGATTGTGCATGAGCAAGGCATAACAGCTGATGAGCTTCCAAAGGTATCAACAACCCTACCTTTAAAATGGCTGACTGACAAAGCTGTCTGGGTGGAACAGTGGCCTTTGGCATCAGAAAAATTACAGGCCCTAGAACAGCTGGTCCAGGAGCAGTTAAATGCTCAACATATTGAAAAATGTTCTAGTCTTTGGAATTCTCCTATATTTGTAATTAAAAAGAAATTTGGAAAATAGAGAATATGAACAGATTTAAGAGACATAAATAAGGTGATTCAACAAATGGGCTCTTCACAGCCTGGAATTCATTGCCTTTTTGTTACCTAAAGGATCCTCTATCATAGTGATTTATTTAAAAGACTGTTTTTTTACTACACCTTTACAAGAACAGGATGGAGAAAAATTTGCCTTTACTATCCAACAATGGCCATAACTGTTAATAAATGTGTGATTGCAGAATTAGCCTTTTCAGAACTCAAAGCAGTTGCTCACTGAAATCTTGAATGTGTATCTCTGGTATGGTATACAACTTTAATTTCCTAAACTCAGCAAAATGAAACACATCCATTTGCCAAATTTCACTTCTTTGAGCACCCTTAGGATTACTTCTTGTAGGTGGTGGGGCATTTCCTTATAATTTCCTTTGCTTGTTGCCAAGTGATAAAAAAAATCTTTCTTTAAATCCTTGCTATTAACATGGTGTTTCTGAAGAAATTCTGAGGTTTCTAGCACATTTCCTAACAACAGATGATCAACTTCATCATTACCTTGTGCTAGAGGCCCTATGGGATTTGATATGTGTTATATACAAGGGATGATTTCTATTTCTTATCATTTCTTGTAATTGAATATATAACAACATTGATTATGAATCATCTGGAATAAGTTCAGCAGTTCAATATGGAAAATAACTCTTTCTGCATATTGATAGTCAGTGTAAAGTTCTTCCACAAGGAATGTTAAACAGCCCCACCTTGTCTCAATGTTTTGTATGACAGTCATTGGAAATATTTGTAAACAGTTCCCTCAATCTATAATTTACTATTATATAAATGATACCTTACTAGCTGATTCAGACTCAGTTACCTTAGAAAAAATGTTTGAAGAAACAAAGAAAAGTTTGCCTTGTTGGGGAATACAAATTGCTCCTGAAAAAAATACAAAAAGGAGATGTTATCAATTACCTGGGATAGAAGATAGGTTTACAAAAAATTCAACTACAGAAAGTACAAATCAGGACATATCAATTATGAGCTCATCATGAGTTCAAAAATTGCTGGGAGATATTAACTGAGATAAGCCCACAATCGGATTACCAACTCATGAACTAAGTAATTCAAACCTTACAAGGTGAGAAGGACATAAATAGTCCAAGAAAATTATCATCTGAGGTTGAGAGAATTGGCTTTGATAGAACAGAAATTACAGGATGCACATGTGGATCTGTGGATCGCTTGGATCCAGAGCTTGATTTTATTCTGGTTATGCTACCCTCTATGCATTCTGCTACAGAAATTCCTATGCAGAGAGAAGATAATATTTTTAGAGTGGATATTTTTGTCACACAAACAGAGTAAAAAATTAAATGCCTATGTAGAAGAGATTTCTGAATTGACTCTGAAAGGAAAAGTGAGACTTCATCAATTGACAGGAATAGGCCCAGAAGAAATTGCAGTACCTTTAACTAACACTGAATTTGTTATTATGGGCAGAAAATGAACATTGGCAAAGAGTGTGCAGTAATTTTTTGGGAAAGATTAGCAACAAATATCCCCAAAGCAAAAGATTTCAGTTTATAGAGAGCCCTAATTGGACTCTTCCTCACATTGTACATGGAACACCAATTTCTGGAGCCCCTACATTCTATACTCATGCAAACAATGCAGGAAAGACAGGCTATACATCGGGAAATTTATGTAAAGTGGCTCAAAGTCCTTATGATTCTGCTCAAAAGGCAGAATTATATGATATTCTCATGATATCATTACATTTTCCAGAACTGGAAATCAAATATAGTCACTGACTATCAATATGCAGAAAGAGTTATTTTCCATATTGAACTGCTGAACTTATTCCAGATGATTCATAATCAATGTTGTTATATATTCAATTACAAGAAATGATAAGAAATAGAAATCATCCCTTGTATATAACACATATCAAATCCCATAGGGCCTCTAGCACAAGGTAATGATGAAGTTGATCATCTGTTGTTAGGAAATGTGCTAGAAACCTCAGAATTTCTTCAGAAACACCATGTTAATAGCAAGGATTTAAAGAAAGATTTTTTTTATCACTTGGCAACAAGCAAAGGAAATTATAAGGAAATGCCCCACCACCTACAAGAAGTAATCCTAAGGGTGCTCAAAGAAGTGAAATTTGGCAAATGGATGTGTTTCATTTTGCTGAGTTTAGGAAATTAAAGTTGTATACCATACCAGAGATACACATTCAAGATTTCAGTGAGCAACTGCTTTGAGTTCTGAAAAGGCTAATTCTGCAATCACACATTTATTAACAGTTATGGCCATTGTTGGAATGCCTATTCAAATTAAGACTGATAATGTTCCAACATATGTTTCTAGTAAAATGAAACAGTTTTTTGCATATTATAACATAATGCATATTGCAGGTATACCACACAATCCTACAAGATAAGAAGTTATAGAAAGATCTGATCATACTTTCAAAGATATGCTTAATAAACAGAAAGGGGTAATAAAGACCCCCAGAGATAGATAACACAACACTTTATTCATTTAAAAAATTTTAAATGCTAATGAAAAAGGAACAACAGCTGCAGAGAGACACTGGATAGTAGAAAAAAAAAACAGATGAATTAAATCAGGCTGTATATTTGAAGGATGTATTAACCTCAGAATGGAAACCAGAATATGTGTTACATTGGGGTTTTGCTATGGATACCATCAAGATTGATAAAGATTATACTTGAACAAGAGAGACCTCTTGGTTAGGAGAGCCAATATTTAATCAAACAGTGTGTCAGTTCAACCTGATAAAAAGGAAAACTCCCCAAAGTTAGGATTGGGGCAGGGTTTTGTTTTTGTCTTTCTAGGAGAATAAAAGCATCCCACTAAGGAGTCTGAAGACCACTGGACAAATGAGACATCTGAAGAAGAAGGATGAATCATCCAGAGAAAATGCTCCAAGAAAAAGAGTAAATAGGTCTTGTAGCAGGAATCTTAGAGGTCTTATTAATAAAATCAACTCTGGCCGGGCGGTGGTGGCGCACACCTTTAATCCCAGCACTCGGGAGGCAGAGCCAGGCGGATCTCTGTGAGTTTGAGGCCAGCCTGGTCTCCAAAGCGAGTTCCAGGAAAGGCGCAAAGCTACACAGAGAAACCCTGTCTCGAAAAACCAAAAAATAAAATAAAATAAAATAAAATCAACTCTGGAGTCAGTTGTGGGGGTGAATGCTGAAAGATCAGAGAAACAGCTAACTTCACCTGGCCAGTTCCTCAGCTGGTCTTATTTCCTTAGACTGGAGGCCTCTCAGCTGAACTGTGCTGCTCAAAAGCCTGAAAGCTTAACCAGCCTAGTTCCTGGGTTTCAAGCCTTATATACCTTTTTGCTTTCTGCCCTCACTTCCTGGGATTAAAGGCTCACTTCAAGGCATTAAAGGCATGAGTCACCATGTCTGGCTGTTTCCAGTGTGGCCTTGAACTCACAGAGATCCAGATGGATTTCTGCCTCTAAATGCTATGATTAAAGGCGTGAGTGCCACCATTTTCTAGCTTCTGTATCTAGTGGCTGTTCTGTTCTCTGACCCCAGATAAGTTTATTAGGGTGCACAATATTTTGGGGAACACAATACCACCACAAGGTCTAATGATATAGCCCACTTAAAACAGGATAAAATTTCATAAATCTTCCCAGATGCTTGTCCCTACTGTTCTCTTCAGACATATAAGGTAAATGGTCTTTTTGTAGTCCCAATTCAATTAAAAATTAAAGCTGGCTTTGGAGTTGGAGTGTGGCTCTCTCCTTCTCTAAACCCAAGCATACTCGTTAAAGGAAAATCCAAATCTGATATATGCTGCACATGATATTTAATATATTTAAGTTTCCTGTAGTGAATCATTATCACTTGTAACAGTGACCCTTGTAGTATCCAAAAGGATGTTGGGGCCCCACAATGATGAATCCACCTGGATTGTGGTAATGTCACTAAGCTGACAAACACCACCCAAAGCTCAGCTTTGGACTACAAACTGTTCAAGACAACTTCAAAGCAGTTAGCTACAATGGTCCAGCCTGGTAGA